TCATATGTGAGTGCTTTATGTTCATTTTTAGCTTTAGTTTTTTCTTTTATACCCAGAACCAAAGATATTTGATTCATTGGTTTGCTTTACTTTAGTGGCTTCTTGATAATGAATGGGTACTTTATAATATTCTTTTTTAGCTTCCATTTTATTAGCACAATATATCTTAGCAGATTTTTGGTAATAATTAATGTCTTATAACCGTTTATTCTAACTCCAACTCTATTTCGATTACAGTTTTCATGGCCATATGATCTGTCAATATGGCATACTTTTGCTGGCCTTTAATAATGAGAGAATGCTTTAGGTTTATTCGATTCTGCTCCAATTTTATTCCAATGTTTGTATTTATGGCCTGCAGTCTTATTAGAGGACTTTTTATTGTCAGATACTTTAGTTTCATCCTTCCCAACTTCAATCTCTTCAATAGACTTCATATAATATATAGGCTCTTTATGTTTACTCTGATGTTTATTTTTGAGGCCAACTCTATTTCGCTGGCAGAATTCGGGGTCATGTTGACCGTTTAAATTGTCACTCTCAGCATATTTCATACTTAGATTCAATGCTTGAAGTTCCTTCTAATGTTCTTCTTTTTTAAGGTTGTTGCTATTTTGCTAATATATTCTATTATCATGATAAGCTATATGCTTATCCGTTCTAATTTCTATACTCTTGAATAATTGTTGATGACTTTTGGAAATTTCTTTTCACCACCATTGTTTTCACCGTTGGTTATTCTTTTTCATAACCAAGCTTAATACTCTTGAAAGGTTCTTTCTCCTGTCCTTCTTGAGCACAATAAGTGTCAAAAACATCGATAGCTATTAATCTTTTTCATCGGGGCTTGATTGAAGAATTTTTGGTAGTGTGAGCTATTGAGAATTGACTCTTCTTTTTCGAAGTTGGGGTTACTTGGATATAGGTTGTTAAGTGTATAATTGATGTTTCTTCATCTCCTTTGCAATTCGTGAAATCCTCCAGTATTTCTAACAATAATTTCAGGGCCTGTAGAATCTGTGCTTCATCGATGTAGTCATTTCCAAAGGCTTCATTGATTATTTCTTGAACCTTGGTAGCTTGTTTATCTATAAGAGTTTTAAATAAATTGGCACATCTTCTTTTTAACTTTTGCACTTCCAGACATATAAGAACTTTATATTATAATAAGAGCACCACTGTCTTTCTTGAAAGGCTTCTTGAGGTGTTTTACAATTCCGAGACTTCACTCGAACTTTCGATGGTTGAGACTCTGTCTGGCATATACTCTTCTTTGGGTATTGATATGATCTTGTGGCAAATACTTGACTTGGGTAATTAGAGTATAAATCCATTTTTGTGTCTAAGATAGTTTTAGTTTAGGATCATCAGATTTAGGTTTGGAAGTAAGTATCTCACAGTTACCACCAAATAAGAAAGGTTGTACAAAATTAAAATCAGGAAAATCAGGCAGTATAGATGTCAACTATCACTAAGACTAATCTAATACTATCCAAGCAATATACTAAACTACCAAACTCTATCTAAACTGTAGAAGGCACGAAAGAGGGTGTGAAAAGACTTTGTCTAAGTTTTTAGGGCAAAATAGAGCTTTATACTATGTCATAAAGCTCTATGAAAGGAATTACGAGATTAAACTACTAAGCTATACAAATTTAACTTATTGGGAGGTAATTAGAGTGAAACTTTAAAGGATGGAAAGACTCTTAGTTGAGTCAAACTCTAGTGAGTTGTCCATTTTATTAGGCCAAAAGTTAGTGCTTTTATAGCTTTTGCGCTGGACGAAAATACAACGGGTTTTCTAATTTTAACATGGCTTTTCCTGCCAAGGCTTTGTTATACCGTTATTCTGAATATTTGAATATAGTAATGTTCAAATGTTCAAATGTTCAATATTCAAATATTCAATGTTCAAATGTTCAATGTTCAAATGTTCAATGTTCAAATGTTCAATGTTCAAATGTTCAATGTTCAAATGTTCAATGTTTAAATGTTCAATGTTCAAATGTTCGAACATTCCAAATAAGGCAAGGATAACCAGTTCCCAACTGGATATACTAATCTTAATCTAATTTATTAAAAAGGCAACTTTGAAGCCTAATACAAAATATATAATAAGAAAAATAAATGAAAAAATATACTAAGGGTACCCATTAACTCTTCACAATGTGTAGTTTTTTTCTGGCATCTGATTGGCTGGAACAAGTGATCAGTAAATACAGTACTGTAGGTATAGTACTGTACGCAGCATATCACTATTTACAATAAAAGATAATAATGGTTTATACTAAACAAAGACAATAGATGTAGGGGACAATGATTTATATCATAAAAATGATGATATTCAAAGGGGCGAATTCGCCCTTTATTTATAATAAAATAATACATATCATAAAGATAACAATCCATTTAGTCTATTTTTTGGATAGCCATGAATTTTGGATATCCGATTGTAAGTCGATTCTAGATATGGTGAAATTTTTATAATAAACAAACCAAATAGAAATTTTTGCCAAACTGAATGAATTTTTACTATAAGAATTATTGTAAAAAAAGCTAGCTGCAATCAGAATATTTGTATTTTATTAATGTTATCAATCACATATACATAGTAACATAGTTCTAAAAAATAAATAATCTTCACTATCCATTATTACAACATTACGATTATGAATAAGGTATGTAAAAAAATTTTTTGTGCTCAAGGTAAAATACTATTCAATGTTACGTATAAAAATATGTCATTTAATCATGCTAAAATATTATGCATCTTCATTATTAATCGAAGTATCAAATAGTTAAATAGATATCCAAAAAGAAAAAAAAAATCTCTAATCAAAGTTATATGTTACATATAAAATATATCATTTATTCATGCAAATATTAATGTATCATTATTATTAATTGAAGTATCGGATAGTACCGGATAGTTTAATAGATATCTGGCTATCCGCAGAAATATTCTCATTATCTGATATGAACGGATATCTAATAGAAAATCTACTGGATTTTTTGAACAGATCTAAGCACTATTATGATGAGCTTGTCTCTTTCCTGGCTTGTTTTTTCTATACACTAATTGTTCTTTCTGAGATATCGAACTTCTTTGTCGCTTCTATCTTTATTTTTTTTATTGTGATTCGTTCAGGTGTGAAGTTCTTTTGTGCATTTTAAAATTTATCAAATTGAAAATACTTCTATTACGATTAATAGCAATAATAATTTTTCTAAGTAATATTCAAATTTTGATTATGATATAATTACGTATTTTATGACATAATTTATCGGGGTGTTAACAATCAGTTTAATCACAAACTTTGAGCAAGACATATAATAAAAATCATTAGTGAAGATTTTTTTTTGAAATTGATTTTAAAATTTCGATTTATAATAAATTTTTATTATAATGCATATTGAAATAAGAAATTTTTATAATACTTTAACAATAGTATAAATATTTAGATAGAGATATTCTTAAAGAATAAATACCAACTCGGAGAATTAAAAAAAATTAACATAACAAAAGTTATTAAAGTTTGCGCGAAGGCATTTTTTATTAATAATTTAATATAATTTGAAATTTTCAAAAATCGATTAATAAAATCTTCAATAATGATTTTTATGTTTGTGATCAATATTTTATTATGGTTTTTAAAAATAAGCTTTATGCATGAAATAATTATGAAATAAATAAGAACTTTCGCAGATCAGTATAGTATAGGAAAGCTTAGTTCCGGCTCACTTTTTTTAATATTTAAAAAATTGATTTATTTACTATGATTCCGTTATATAGATATAACAAATATACTATATGGATTTTTTTCTCAGCCCGGATTTCCGTTATACCCATAGTTGATTGTACTCACTTCTCTACTCTTTTATTTGTTTTTCATCTATTATAAAACACGGAGTAAGTGTGAAATTAGATTTGAGACCTTGATTTTAAAATAAAATCTACATATATCTTTATAAACTCTAAATTCTAGCCAATTCGTAAAAAAAGGTTCAAACTTTCATAATAATAATAAAATATTTTATTATTAATAAAATATATCTCCCTATTAATTATTCATTAAAAAAATAACAAACTCATTTTATTTCTAACAAATAGAATTTTATATTACAGTACATATTCTACAATTTTCAGATGCTATATAGTTGCTTGAAAATCCTATTGTAGTAGGCAAATAAAATATGGCATATGTATTTTTGCAGTCAAACATCAACTAAGAACATCAAATAGTCAATTCTAAAATAACCGAAATTTACATTATGCATTTTTCAATAATAGCATATTTTATATTATTCATTAATATTCAACGCATCCATATTTAACTCATTCAATTCGCTATCTGTTAAATAATTATAATTAATATTAAAGATTAAATCTTATTAATGCAAAATAATAAATATAGATACCTTGATAAAGCGATGTAGT